CAAACGATTAATAAAATAACCAATGTATTATTTGTTATGTAAATGATAAATTCTATCACAGCCCCAGATATCCACGCATAGAGATTGTCACAGATATTTAGAAAAACCTTTTCTTGAGCAAAGAGCAAAACATAATTTAAAAAAACTACTCTTGAACTTGAACTTGGTTTTATATCTTTCTTTCGTAATTAAATTACCTATTTTTTTACAGATATTTAGAAATATTTTTGAGTATAAAATATCATTTGTTTCGTATTATTTCACAACTTAAATATTCATGAGAACTCATATACTAAGGATGTGCGCTTACACCGTTTTATAGTTCTCATACATTTGAATAATATAACAATGATCAGATGTTTCGTTATTGTGTATAATATTAAAATAATAACAATTTTTAAATCATAGCTAATCATCTATTTTTTATCATTCTTGTAAATATATTTCTTTTCAATTCGATTTAAACATTATAACTTTAAACGTTCTTTTGGTTCACCGTACTGTAAACAGGTACGATCATTTTTTGCATACAATGTAGCAATCAAAGTATCAAATAGTTAAACATTTTGCAGTATTAAATTAATGTGTTTCTTTTAGATGTGTGATAACACATTGTTGAAATATTACACTCATTGCTATATATAACAGTGCAGTGAACACAATCAAGATCATTTCAACTGATAAGGCCGTTGTATTAATGCACATCATAACTTGATTGTTTTATAACTTTTCAGTATTCGTTTAATGTCTGTTCCCTCAGAATTCATATCATAATTGATTAATAAAGCAATAAATAGACGTTCAATTAAACTAGAATCTGTTGATGCTTAGAAATGATGATAATTTATCTTAAAAATGTTGTTTCTGACTGACTATGACTTAATTATTAAACATATGGTTCCAATACAATAGTTCATCTATTGAAACGTGCACACAATTATAACGTATCATGTTCAGGATTGATTATAATGTTGGCCTATAGTTATGCTTACAATTCCAAACGATTGCAATGATAGTGAAATTGAGATGCTTGTTGATTTTGTTATCGGTATGAATAAAATCTATTTATGCTAGACTTTTTCCAAAATATAAGTATGTCAACCTGTTGATATCACATATCTCTACAAAGAGGTATCTGTGTACGACTCTGGGTGCCGTTTTATTGACCGTCGAAGGCCCGGTCGTTGGAAAGTGCGTACATTTTCATCTGTTTTTATCAACATGGTCGTAGCAAAACGTCTTAAATATACGTTGAAACACTACAGACGTTTCAATACAGTCTTTATAATGATCAAATGCTAAAAATGGCGACTGATGAAGCAGCAAGAGAAATAATCCGCCCGGGATATTCTTATTGAGTTACGATGGTGCCAGACAGAGACGGCGGCGATTATGATGCTTATGGCGATAAAGAGGAAAACAACGGCGGTTACTTTAAAATAATTACAAAAATAACGGTAAAGAAATAATTATTTAAAAACAAACAAACAACAACAAAAGAATTAATGAATATTTATTCAAGAAACAATAGGAAAAAACACAAACAAAACCAACAAACAAAAAACAAAACAACAACAGCAACAAAAAATGAAAAAGAAACAAAAACAAACATTACAAAAACAAACAAACGACAAACAAACAAACAAACAAACAGATAAACATTGTAGTCGGAAAAATTACAATGGATTTTTTTGCAGCATCAAAAGAGTTTTTTTTGAGGATGCGAAAAGCGTAAGTCTTCCAATTAATTGTGGATGCATCAGAGAAACCTAGCAGCGTCCTTTGAATTTATACAGTTTCCGGTGTTACAAGCCAAATAATTATGTATTGCATCATGCCAAAGAATGTTCAACTTTATCAATAGTTTCTAAATTAAGACATAGTAAAGTGTAATATACAGACAAAGATAGAATAATAACGACATGTTTGAAACAGGTGTTAATTATTACCCTAGCTGCATTAGAAAATCCTATAAAAAATTAACATAAATACGTAATCTTTACAATGCAATAAAGGAAATTAGAAAACTCTTATTTTGCCGACAGACAGTTTTCAATCGGTTTATATTGCCTTTAGAGATAAAAATTCTTCTCGTTAAAATTACACATATATATTAGGAAAGTATCATGCGCAAATTGGAACATTAGATTTTGTTATTATCATAAACAGCAATTAACAGTGGAATTATAATTGATTATATATTTTATATGTATCTAATTTAAAGCTCTTAACTGCTAGATCTAATGTATGTATGAGAACATGAAAGTTTTTGTAGCCGTCTTTTATTTGTGATTTTATGTGTTCTCCGTTATTCTTCTTTTTCTGTTAACTTCATGAATATTTTTAAATGGAAAACAATCACTTTGATATATAAATGATGTAACATTGTACGAAGTGTTTGATAGATGATATAGAAGAAAACGGGTCTTTTCTAGAGTGTTCCATTTTATCTGATCAAGTCTTTTAATGGAGAGTTCAATTCTTATTTTCATAGATAATTCTGATTAACATAAAACTTTTTATCACATAAACTGCGGCGCAGGAGTGTAATAAAGCCATTTAATAGAAACGATATTACACTAGTGTAATAACACTTTGACGTGACGTCATTTGCGCTTTATAGAAACATAGCGTTAAAGCGCGCTAACGTTAGCGTTACACTCTGGGCGCGTCATTGAAAAAAATACTCATTTTAACAGTTCACAGTTCTTATATTAGACATGTGATAAATAGAATATTATATTCGTGTAAATTCAATACTAAATTTATTGAACTCGTTGAATGAAACAATATTATGCTCGCCAGAGGCTCGCATAATATGATTTTATTCAACTCGTACAATAAATTTAGTATTAAACTACACTCATTCAATATCATCTATAAATGGTATTTTCACTTTGTTTAAGAATGCTTAACTAAAATTTAAAGAAACTATGCTTTATAACTTTACACTGAATCAGAAACTTGCTCGAATCATTTTCAAAAAGAACGGTAATAAACACGTATAGTAATATAACTAAGGGTTTTAATCTCTAAACTAATAAATTGCGGGGTTTCTAAACAGGAAATGAATAACAGGGAATGCATTAAAAGATATCAGATGGTCTTACTGTCATGCGTTCCCGCCAAAAATTCTAACATCGGCCAATGTCGTAGCAAATCGGTTATTTCCGGAACGTTATTTTTTGTCAAAGTCTTAGACATTACAATCGCTCTTCCTTCTTCGCTATGTACAAAATTCCGGTTATAAACGGTTAAAAATTATTGAATACCTGAGATTGTGAAAAATAATATTCCGGAATTGATCGATTTAGCACGATATTGGCCGATGTTTGATAGTTTTAGCGGGAAGGCATTGCAGTAAGGCAACCTTAACCTTTGAACGTGTATTCTCTTCAAAAAACTGAGCAAAACGTTCCAAGTTTGACGTAGAAATGTGTTCGTGTATGATTGTGGCAGTCCTACTAGTTCTACTGCGTACTGAACGAGGCCATTTTATTAGGCAACATGTATAACAGGGACAAAATATCTTAAATTGGTATTTTCATATTTAATTACAGTAAATTAAAACAAGACAACATCAATACATTTTCTCGATGAAAAATAATCACTATTTTTAAAAAGTATCTCTGAAGAAAATATAACTATAAAAATATTCTAAAATAAAAGAATCCCTAAATAAACAATGAAACAAGAAATCGCAAAGACAGTATTTCAATCAACTTTTTCAACATGATTCTCATTACATTCTTTTGATATTAATTTCAAAGTATTTTAAAAGCAATGATTCTAAAACATATATACAGATTCTGTTACATAATGATCTTCAAAATATCTCAATTTTACAAAATTTTTGGTGATCTAATATAATTTATTTCAATTAAAATTCTGACAAAGAAAGATAGACAAGGCTTTGAAACGGCAAACTAGGAAAGAAGAAAGCGAGGTAAGGCGTTCTCGTTTTGGACTGAATAATTTTTATCGTTTGTTTTTAATGAAGGACTTAACGCATTTTTAAACTGGTGATATTTTGTTATCTAGTGAGGTTTCACTTACAAAGAGTTATCATCAATGTCGTAGTTTCGCGGATCATTAGAAAGCAAACATTGACAAGTCATTTCTATTCAGGAGTATATACAAAGGGGACGTGGGTAAAATATAGATTTCAGTCAGGAAATGGTTTAGTGATGTACATTGAGTTCGCAATTTTGTAAGGGTAGAATCTTCATTTAAAGTGAACCTTCATAGAATCTGCATTGTAAAAGCACTTGCAGAAATGTAGCTATATTAGATATAATATTGAAAACAGGATAGAAAAGGAGTATAGTGGAGAGTTATGGTAAAAATAAAGAGAAAAAATAAATATTTTTTTAAAAAAATCTACATATAAATAGATCTTGTAAAAGAAGGGTATAGCAATCGTCTGTTACGTATAAGACAAATAAGGGATCAATAAAAACTCTACAATTAGGATATTGTCAGACACTTATAAACAACACGCCGGGTGTCCAAGCATGATCAAGAACGAAATTGATGTTCGTGAGGAGTGAGTATTTCTTGAAATCAGTTTGACGTCAGAATGACGTCGTGACTTGCGCTACTACGGCTGTATCGAATAGATTCAATGCCTATCATTTCTTAAGTCATTGCATTTCATGAAAATGTGTATGTAAGTTTGAATTTGTTTGAATTTGATTTTTTATATACAAAATGTATGAATAGATTTAAAAACGCTATGACGATTTGGTTTTTATGATGAAATTATTATACAAACTTTCGGAAGCTACCTCATACATATTCGAATTGTGAACGAACCATGTACTTATTTTCTCCACTAAAACTATATATATATATATATATATATATATATATATATATAAACTATATATATATATATATATATATATATATATATATATATATATATATATATATATATATATATATATATATATATATATATATATATATATATATATATATATATATATATATATATATATATGAACAGTGAAAATAAAAACGTGATGACAAATTAAAGTTACAGCTATCATGAGAATATTAATTATAGTAAAATTATTATAATAAAGCACAAAACGATTGACAATGACAAGAAAACAATTTAATGATATACATAAATATATAAGCACATATAAGCTAAATTTCTTTAATAGGTTTGACATCGGTATGTAAGTTATATATATATATTTAGAAATAAATATCATAGCTTTGTGTTAAGAATCATAAAAACTATATCCACGTATGCAAACAAATTTAACTGTCTGTTACAATAGTTAATTACAGAAGTTATTTATATTTTTATAACGTTGTATGACAGTAATTTGTTAGAAAAAGATGCACTATACTGTGTGAGCCAAATTTAAAATAATTATCATTATTAATTGTTAAAATTTCAAAGTTTAACTAAGCACAAGTATTTTTCTTGCGGAGCTTCTCATGGACTGGCACTAACGTGTAACATCAAAATTCAAAATTTTACCAGTTCATGTTAAATGTTGAATCTGCTTAAGCTGGGGCTAGGGGGCGTGGATGGTAACTTGCACTTTCCAGAACTGTCCATGAACAGGCCTAATCAAACTTAGACTGCAATATTTTCAATTGTGTCGTTTTGGGCGTTAAGGAATTTCGCTTTCTCTTTTCTGTAAGGAATTACTTTGATATGAGAAACGATGATTATTTGCAAAAGTTTGCCACACCTAGTACAAGAAAAAACAAGGAGTTGATTACTGTAATGAGGTACAAAATAATGGCAAACTTGTAAATCATCAAATAATGAACATATTTACAAACGCATACTTTTACTTCTGTGCGACAGCTATATCATGGAAGTTTAATTATATTTGATAAAACAACTACAAAAAGCAACAAATATACTTATTTTAGAGAAGGTAACATACATTTAGTTTACACAATAAGAGAACAATAATAATAACGAACTGTGTATGTTTGAATTTTTAAGCAAAGCATATATTTATGTTTACTATCACACGAAGTATTTCAATGTTTTAAGCATTCAATATATTCCTCATGATCTTATAAAGGAGAATCATCAGAGCTTGAACTCTGAGATATTATTGCCGACAAATGATCATAAGTAGATCTTACAGTTACAAATACATCATGATTTTATGATGCTTCTGTAAGGATATTTCCAACGTGGAGATGTATTTTAGTAATTAACTTGTACAAGAAAGATAAAACAGTGAAGCGACGACTACCTATCATTATTTAAATGAGAAACTGATAAAGGCGAAAGCATTATTTAATAATTTTGAGGGGAAAAACACTTATACTCGTATTAATTATTATTGTTGAAGTAACAAGTAACATTAATATATAAAATTCAAAATCGATAAAATGACTTCTTTAATTCATTTAAAAAATATGAATGTTTTAACTTTATTTTACAAACTCAATATCTATTTTTATACACTGATCAAATTGTAATAGCAAAATGTTTGATAGTAAACAGAACAAGAAGAATAAGTATGCATCGAAAGTATACTACATGTATACTACATGCATTTATTTTATTTTTCTGTACATCTGTCAAATACTAAAAAGTATTTTGTATGTATCTTAGTCACTTAAACTGATGCTTTTACTTTATATTTGTATATTAACTTCTTTCTGTACTGGTATAACAAATCAAATTGATCATGTCTTTGATTATTACGCCAAATTCTTTTGTCACATTTAGACGCCGCAACCATTGACGTCATGTGAAGCTAGCATAATTCCAGTTTAGTGTTTATTATCTAATCTATTTTGTGCATTAAACACCGTTTAACCTAAATACAGTACATGAAATCCGTTTAATAATTATTTATATATTCTGATAGTAATGACACTCTCATACTTTTGGTACATAAAAGTATATTGCTTAACATTAAATATTCGACAGTAATCTTCGTTTAGTAAGTTTACTATATATAGTTTTTTAACTATTTTCGTCGTCTTTAAAAAATGTCATTTCATCAGTGGTTTACGTGCCGATCACAAACTATCATGTTTAATACATAAGCTATGATCAGATTTTAGTGAAATCCTCAGTTATGAAGGATTGGTGTTCAAAAGTTAAAGATATTTCAGCAAGCTTCATTAAAAAATATCTTTACGTATATAGGAATCTAAATACAGATTTTTCTATATACAAATTGAACAAGAAAATATAAAAAATAAAAATTAAAAATAAATTAATGTTGTTTTTTTTTCTGAGTACCCAAAGTTCTTGACCGAAAAGTAATAAATTATACAGATAACTTTTCAACAAATGTCTTAAATAAAGAATTTGCATTTCTTTAACAATTTTTACAAAAAAATCTGGCAAATTGAATTGTAAATTTCTAGAAAATAGTTACACTAACATTTTAAAATAAGTACAAATCAGGACAATATAGCTTTCATAAGAAACATAAAGATTATTCTTTTGATAAAATGAGGTATAAACAAGATATCAAATGCATGATAATTATCTATGATAAATGGCACTAAACGTGTTTGAACGACAGCGATAAAACAAGAATAAGCATTTAATTATCACCTTAGGGGCTTCTTCAAATCTTGTAATTCAGATGTCAATGTACTCGTTTTCGTAGACTGTCGCCTCATGGTTGTACGAAATATAAAACATTTTCTTTGTATTTGTGGCAGGCGAAACGTGTAGATGATTGGATCTGCAATGGCATTTAATAACAAAATTACATACAAAATATCACCAATTTGTTCGATTTTCTCTAGATTGTTCAATATATACATGTTATCTTTGTTGTATAAGTAAACGTTGAATATTCCAATCGGTGTCCAGAAGAATACAAATGTCAAAACGAACAGCGATGTCGTTACTAAGGCCTTAATGTTACTTGTTTCTTTTTGCCGATGTCTCGTCTCGCTATGTATAGATCTGTTTCTGACAACACAGATGTAGATCCTACCATAAATCACAAAAATCACCAACAAGACGATGAAGATGAAAATCACTATTCCAAGCTCAGAATTTACTTTATCATACGCAATTGCTTCACACAGAGGTTCCATTTCTCGTTGGTGTGCAATACCCATAATTATTTCAACCGCAATTGCTAAAACACTCACGAACCAAATTACCAATACAGCGATCATACCACGAATATTTGTCATTTGCTTTTTATACATCAACGGTCTGAGTATGGCCAGATAATGATCCGCTGCAATTGCAAGAAGATTTAACAATGTTGCTAATAGAGCCAGGTCTGTTACCAGTCGCACAGCAACATTAAAGCAAAGATTTATTTCATGTGTCATGAGAAATACTTTGCTGAGAAAAGTTGGAATCAGGATTAAACAGTCTGAGCAACATAAACTTATGATCAGTTTTAAATGTGTGGACAACTTCTGATGTAATCGTATTACCATATTAATAGACACAATGTTTGCAACAATGCCTAAAATACAAAGAACAATGGAAATCACATCCACGGAAGTAACAGTATACGTATTGTCTAATTCATTATATTCTTCGTAATAAAGGTCGTACCAATTTGCTGTTGATTGTCCCGAAGAATTTCTATCTTGTTCGTGCATTGAATTCAAACTTAAATTGGCACTGCCGTTTAAAGACCAGTTACCTTCCATCATGAGGGATCTTTTAAACCTGAAGACACAATACAAACATGAAATTAAATTTGCATCTTATTCATATCAGTTAAATTGAAATAAATAAAAAAGACAAAAATATATCAATATCAATTAGAATGAATAGCTATTTTTCTTTTGTAATACTTATAGGTTTGATTTACTCACCATCATTTAATATTATCATCAAAATTTCGATACGAGAATATTATATATCTACCTTCAAAAAAGTATAATATATTGTACAACAATTTAGGAAGTTTCCTTCTTAAAAGGATTTAACAGTTAACCATTGAGAAGAAAGTCAGTTGATTAGTAAAAAAATTGAAAAAAGATGATACGAAGACATTGTTTAAACACATTCAAAGAAATAAGAAGATTTCATTGATAAAGTCAAACTATTTTCAATAAATAAATAAGTAAGTAAATAAATAGAAATAAAATAAATAAACCAATCAAAAAATAAATAATATAAAAAAATGAATAAAACTAAATTTTAAAAAGATAGAAAAAAAATTTACAGCAAACGTAGTAAATGCATTTTCAGAACATGATATTAATTTATTCCATGCAGTAAAACTGATAAGATAATTCGAGACTTGGATCACGTAAATGTGTTTTGATGAAAAGCCAAGATTTAAATCAAATTTTCAATATCCCTTCTGAAGAATGATTTTTTTTCTGATTACTTGTTTCAGATAAAAGCAAGCTACATTAACTTAAAAAAACCTACATTAACTTAAAAACCTTTTACACCTGACATACTACACTTAACACTTGTTGTTTTGAGTATTAAAATTCTTGAAAGGGGAGATCTCTAGAGGGCAATGAAAACAAATAAAAGTTGAAATTCTCAGTCCAACCAACTCAATAAATTGCATGGCGGTATGAAGAAATAATGCAATAAAGTATTAATATTTCAGCTTTCAACATACTTATTTAACATATTTAAAAAATATTTTGAAATAGAATATTTTTATAACAAATTTTACTTTTGTCAATAATGCACAGATAGTTCCTTGACTAGTTTAATTCTAATTATCAGATTAGTGAATACAATAAGAATTCCACCCCAACATGTTTCTCAATGGAGCACATGTCCATGTCTGTGGTAAAATGTATTGTTTTTCAATTTAAAGGTCAGGGAAGGGATCTATCAATAATAAGTGCAATTTCCGGCAATTTCAAATTTAATTAGAAGTATATTTAATTAAAATAAACTCAAGATACTACATGTACATACATGTTTATGTGTCCAATTAGAGCGAAAAGAAGCAAATACCTGTTGTATTCCAAACATATAAATTACATGTGTCTGCATTTCAAAATATTTTACTCAACGGCGAATAAATTTTATAACAAGTTCTTGTTTTTTAACTTGAAGATAATCGAAATAAATGTCGATTATAAGATGCTATTTTTAATTATGTAAACATTCTATTAAATAAAAATGCAGAATTAACTTAATTATGTAGAAACAGCTAAATTGGATTCTTGATATGCAAAGAAAATGATATGCAAAGAAAAACATGTCATTATTTTTTCCTACAAATGTTCCGATAGCTTACATTTGGAGAAGTCTTACATATAACTCCAATGTTTCAATATCCTTTCCGGTATTTTAAAACTTTTATTTTCGGTATATATCCGTAAAGGACAGTTATACAGTTCTTCTAAAGATGAAAAATGGAGTAAATTTACTTGTCATAATGTAAGATATTATAAAAAGTGAACACCAGGTGTAGTATTTTCATGAGAAGCATAGCCAATAGTGAAAATATAAGAGCTGGTGTTCTCTAGAGAAATATTATGTGGTTACTATAAATTGTTAAGTACTAAACTGATTTCTGATTTTGGATCGGTACACAGCTGTCAAAACTATATTGAACGAGGCGCTAGGCGCCAAAAGAATCATAATAGTTCTCAACCATTTTTAATGATCTCTTTATTCCACATCAACATCACCGCATAACTAGGCTATATTAAAATAAATAAGGATTTGTTTTTTTATTATGAACTTTCCAAAAATGAAAACTAGGCTAGATGGAAATAAAATAAATGCTATATAGGGTGTGATATGAATTTGATATGAACCTTTCGGACTCAGGAAATGAACACAAGGATATAAGGGGTGTGATATGGATTTGATATGGCATTTTTGCCTTCCAGAAATGAAAACGGGACTAAATTGATAAGATCAGATCCAGTAATTAATTTCATTTGAATATCACGTGGTGAAAACGCTGACACTACATTGGTTAATATATTTTACACGGTGTGAAATAAAATTTGATCCATCAAAAAAAAAAGGTTTTCGATTTATTTCATGCTTTTTTGTAGCTTTAAACAGTTTTGTCCTACAACGAATATATTTTCATTCATGTCTTTAGCAAAACACGATGTCAAATTGTTCATGTTGAAAAATAATTCTGTTAAACTTCACAAGTTTTATTTCATGTTTTTACATAATAAGTGCAGACATTCTGTGCGTCTGATTACAAAACCTATTCAAACAACGAAAGTTGTTCCTATTAATGGCATTTTTCTCATCTGCTTTCAAATATAGTCTGCCTACAGCAAAAATATTATTTTGACATTTCAAATGAGAAAATATCAAAATATAATATCACTATCTTATGAAAAAACGTGTAACAAAATATGATAATTATTTTAATTTCGGCGTCATATTTAAAAGAACAATAAAAAAAACAGAAACCAAAACAGACAAAAGTAAATACAACAACATCCCCAAAGAAACACCATTTAAAACGCGAAATTCTGTTGATAATTAAGCAAACATATAAATATTTAAAAGTGACTTACGTCGCTTGCAATATCTGTAAAATTGGTATATCCGATTATTCCGTGCTAACACTGACGCTGTCTGTCGATCAAATGATTTGATGTTATGCGGCTTCAATATTGGTTTAATATCTCTACTGGATTCAGTAATAAACCATTCAAAATGCTAGTTTAATATCAGTCGAATTTAAGATAAAAAGTTAACAGCCGCTTAGATGTGCATCACTTGTATTTTTATCTACATGGTTCTTAAATGAAGACAGTTTGAAGTTTATTATCAGCAACTATAATGCGCCAATACACATTTATTAATAATGAAAAATATAAAAGAACCACCACAACAGAAATCTCTCTGCAGTGGAACCCGGTCAAAATCGTTTTATAATAAAGACACCTAAACAATCGTATTTAAACTGCCACTGCTGAAAACACGCCCGGTATTCGTAACAACCGAATATCTGCTCAAAGTATAGGCAATTCATTTGCGCGAGGATTGTTTAAGTGAACGTCGTCCTTACGTTCGCTCTGTTTAACGCGTAAATCGTGTGAATTGGGCATGAAAACACCATCGCTGGAAAAGGCAACAACAGGATAGAATTCTTTTCTCTGACGAGTCAAGATTTTTATCATTCATCGGGATGATGGCAGGTTTCGTGTTTACGGTAGAAAAAATGAATGATATATCAACTGTTGTGATCTTGAATAAGATTGTTTTGGCAGCGACTGTTTCGCTTTGGGAAGGCAGGCATTGCGCATGGTAATTGGCCATGGAAATTTGAAAGCAAACCGTTACTGAAATGTGATTCGTGACAGGCACGATATCCCACTGATTCAAAAAAATACCAGTTTCCAAAATCTTTCAACTGGAAATTTTGCAAAGAGCCCTTTTTCAGAAGGGGATACTGTGAATTTCCCCCGTCGAAAATATTTTTAAAGCATTAATTTCGGCCCGGCACAAGGGTCTGAAACCAATCAAACCCCCTTGTGGGTAAATTTTGATCAGCTTGTTAGACGTCGCCTTGAAACTATTCCACAGGCACAATACAACACACTTCGATCGGTTCTACGCTTCTACGCACAAACTATAACAGACACAACTCCATGCTTACTGGCGCCCATACCTAGTAATAATGTATGATGTTGGTATATAATATTTTCAACTCGTCAGTTTTTCGTTAAATTCTTACTACATGCTTACTGGCGCCCATACCTAGTAATAATGTATGATGTTGGTATAAAATATTTTCAACTCGTCAGTTTTCCGTTAAATTCTAAACACATTCATTCTGAAATACTCTTGGAATACATGTAAAAAAAGGTTTAATTTATCCCTTCATATTTACGCCAATCTCTTTTTGTTTAGTTTCTATACGTATTTGTCTTTTTGTTAGACATGGAAACATAACAGTAAACTTCATTCGTATTAAGAGGAGCTAGTATTATCTTAAGTATTATCTACCGTCACACAATGTTCTAAATGTAAATACTTTAAGGCACGCGTCTTTTACCTGTAACAACCTTTGAATATTCTAGAAAAAGATATATTGTCTGTTCATGATTAATAATGTAAAGCACGATATCTCAAAAGCTTCGTAACACAGGATGACGCAGTTTTCAATCTTCAACTCTCAAAGTTTTAGAATAATCGTCCCTCCCGATAGTTTGTTTGTTTGTTTGTTTGTTTGTTTCATTTTACGCCTTTTTCCAACAGTATTTCAGTCATATAGGCGGGTAGTTTCCTAACCATCGTTCCTGGAGAGTTACACCAGTACTAGACTACCTTCCTCCGCGCTAAACTACCAAAGCATCTCCCGGGGATCGAACCCACGCCAGAGAGGTAACTGGATTAGAAGTCATCGACTCTAACCCCTCGACCACGGAGGCGGCCCCTCCCGATAGACCAGACTTTTTACAATAGATATATCCCATGCAATTCATAACATCATTACATATACGAACATGTGGTATTATAATTACTATTTAAACATAGACTACATGTATTGATATTAAATAGTATTTAAAGAGTTAAACTGCATGTCAGCAGATAAACCATATTTTTTCAAGAAAATCAAACTTGAGAAAAAGATTTTTAAAAGAGTAGAAATATTTAAGATCTAAGTAATAATTTACATGTTATGTGTGATCAATAAATGCATCTACATATTTCTACTACGTGCCTAAAGCAGTAAAAGCTATTTTGCATTTGACATCTTTTTTGGTAATTTACGGGCGTTGTAAGTTGCAATATGTAAATTATTTTCGATTGTTTACTTTAAAATATATTACTTGTTAATATATTGTAAGACTTTAACATTAAAATAAGCATGAATCTGGAGATATAATGCTTTAAGATTTATGTAGAATAAAACTTGTTTAATATATAATATTTAATTTTCTAATGTATGTGTGCCACTATTACAATATTTACAGTACTGATCTTAAAATTGTAATTTTAATTATAAATAGGTCTTTAATTGGAAAATGTTTACTAATAAAATGTTTGCTGTTAATTAAGCAAGCAGAATTGAATAGTGTTGCAATTTCTGATCGGCCGCTTTAATTTCTTTGAAAGTAAAGAGTGGAAAGGTAATGCCCCATCGTAAGCGTAAACTGTCTGTCATAATAAAACCTTGTCCTAGTATTTATCTACAATAATTTCAGTTTTAAGGATATATGTTTTTAAACGGTAAAGTCATGTGTTCACATAGTTTAACTTACTTATTAAGGACAATTTTTGTATCTAATTACTCTTATATAAGTAAGTTTAACTAAATATCCACTAAATATACACTGACGTCGAGTTTGCTATTGTTTGCGGTGTTTGTCACGCATACGCCCATGTCTTTCTCAAGATTTATCAACATCATTCTGTTAATAAAGGTTCGTTGGTTCATTTCCAATCACGATTCAAACACATTTTCTTCATTTTATTATTATTATATCATTAATGTACATGTTTTCTTTGTTTGTTACCACCCATACTGAAGGAAAATGATATTTAAATTGATACATGGCTGCTCGTTGTTCAATAATGTTGAAATCTTAAAAGCATACGACACTTCATGTGTCAATTGAACAAAGTAACGAATTATAGCCAGATACATTGATACCAGTGTCAAATTCTAACCTGATAGTGTAAGGTTGCTTGTCAGTTCTGAAGAGTTTATATAATTTAAATGCTTCATTAATATAGCATTCCATGGTTAGGGAAATGACGTTTATATTAATCAATATTTACATTAAAAACAATGTCAGATATAAAGACTCTTTAAAGTGAAAGCGTTTATATAATGATTGCTTGAAAAGTAACAATGTTTGTGAATTGTTTTAGACTTAAATTCTGTTTGACATTAAGGTTTGGGTTAATAATGATATTGTGAACGGTTCAAGAAATATGAAAGAATTTTACCATACTCAATAAGACTGTCTATTAAAATATTTTTCGTTACAAAATATCATGTGCATGTACGCTTAATGCAAAAGGCAGTATAAACAATCGTGTAAATTCAGAAAAAGTCTGTAATAATAATTCTGTAATTTATTATTGTCATGCTTAGTGACCCAATGCTGAAATGCTTAAAATGAAAAATTTAAATTCCAATCATGTGAAATTGTAAAGAACAATAATATAATAATAAATCAATTCAGTCTTAATGAACGAAAGTATTCCAAATTTATTAGGAAACATGAAAAATAAAATGACGTATTCCATTATATGATGCGGACACGCGTTAATCACTTATTAGCTATAAAAAAATAATTTTGTCCAGACTACAAATGCTTCACAAAACAAAATTATTTGAAATCTCTGACTTCATTATCAATATATTTATAAGCCCAATCCATCATGACAAACTGCTTTGTCTTAGGAAAAAATAAGACGACTGATACTTTTATATCATATTTGTCTCAGATTATAAAATATGATATAAGCGCCTAATATATGCCAATTACTCACTTAGGAGAAGAATTTCATAAGACACGTTGTCTTTCATTCTAATCCTGTTTATAAGAATATTTGAATTGCTCTCTGTATATTGAAAATTGTAACATGTACATTGTATATATGTTCAGAGAAATAAAATATGTTTAAACTAAGACGACTGATGTGTAAATGCTTGCACCTTTAAGATAATTCAAAATTGCACGAGCTATTGTTCGAAAATCAAAATGAATATCAACGTTATAGTTATTTTGACTTAACATCGCAGATGAAGTTGAAGCATTTACTTAATTCTTTACTCTTATATTGTATTATTGTATGCTTAATTAACACCCCATTATGCTCAAGAAATGCTGTTGTTGTTTTTTTGTTTTTTTTTGTTTTTTCAACAGTTTCATTTGTTTTTTTCATTTTGTGCCCTGTTACAGTTACCAAAAAATAAGTCATTGATTAATTACCTGAACCATCTTTTGCTTCTGTTTATTTTTGTATTAAGTTATAGTGATCAAGTATTTTTTATGGAAATTGAAATACTTCTTGGTTTACAAAACCCATGTTTCCCTTTTTCCAAATAATGATATTTGTCTCATTTCTAACAATACCGTTTCTGTTGAACACAATTTTCCAAAGATGGTGTTTTTTTGTATGATGAACATTCAATCTCAAGAGAGTTAAATTATAATAACCTTACACTAAAAAGGTCTGAATTTGACGCTTATGTCAGATACGTGATATAACAAAATTGGCATCTTAAGTGGTGTATGCGTTAAATTAACATCTATAAGCATCGAATAGTTACCACTTTCAATATAATTTCCCCTCATAATCGGTGGAAGTAAACATTATGTTGCACTCAGCTTTTATAAAGAAACTTACCAAAATGTAGCATCATAATTTACACTTTGTTGTTGTAATCCTAATCCAAAGAAACATTCAGTCTTCAGAAAAATAAAATCAACAAGATTAACAAATACTTGTTTGAATGATAAAATGATGTTGATAATGATCATATTATGACAGGATTATTATTTTAAATTTTGATAACAGAACATTTGCATCCTGTTAAATATTGTCAAATACCTAACAAAGAAGAAAAAAGTGGCATAGATTTTATTTTGGTTAGTTTTATTATGTGTGTCTTCTTTTTTCATCCATTTCAATTTAACTGTTGAATTTATTTTTATTTTAGAAATTACACAGCATCCCGGGAAACTTTTAAACATAATGCACCATGTTTTCTTTTATTTATAAAACTCGCCGCTTTTAGGTGCAAATGTTTTAGAGAAAAATAATACTCTCGATATTTTAATGTTCCTCGGTTTCTGTCAATTTTACATGTCAGATTATTTTGCTTTGTTTTAAGTTTTGATCTAAAGTTGACCTCGCTGATTGACCTCAAAGGGATCTGTTATTTATATTGCTGCATCCTATAAACACACGTATAA